AAAAAAAAAAAAAGAACTTCAGGGAAGGGAAGGAGGGAGGGGATGGTAGGGGGAAAACAATGGAGGGGCTAACAATGTTCAAGAGGAAGTGTACTCATTACCTCACTCATGTAACTGTAACCCTCTGTATAGTATCTTTACAATAAAAAATAAAAAAATAAAATAAATAGTATCATATTTCAGTCCTTACACATTATTTTAATGAAAAAAAATCCACACTGATACATACAAATTTACAGATTTCAAACTGTAACATCAAACAGAATGCAAGAATGGAATAAAGTGGCTATATGATAGAATCTTCTTCACTGAGACATACTTGATTGTGATTATGTGGATACAATGAGGAAGACATCATAGGTTTCCCAGTCATGATTAATGAAGTCCTCTAAAAATGGATGGAGGTATCAGTCACTTCGGGGGAAACAGCAAGTTAGATGCCCTGTCTACATTGTAGAGTGTAAGACATAAGAAGCTTTAAGAAACTGAAATTAAATGTTAGAAGAACAGTACAAAATAACTTGCTATAATGATGGTTTATCTTTGACATACAAACCTCAAGTATGCAATACTTCAGTATAATTGAATTTGCTGAAAAATGACAATTTGCCAATGTATCAATACACACACACACACACACACACACACACACACACACACACATTGAACTTAAAGGATCTATTTAGAAGTAAATGAGGAATTCTAAAAAGAAACCATTTGTTCCAAGTCATATTAAAATTTCCATGGACAAGTGTGGGCAAAATACATGACTACATACCAATTTTTAAAAAATAATTCTTGCACAAACAATAGTCTTCTTAACATAACAAAATTCTAAAATTAATTCCAGAAATCCAAATTAGGTGATTCTATAACAAAGAGAAAACCAGTATAGTAACCTGCCAATTAGGGAGTCAAACTGTACTTGTGTGGCACTGATGTTTGTTTAAAGCACTTAAGAGAACGCCCAGGCAGACCACAGCCTTAAAGAAAGATGTACATCAAGGAAGTCTACAGAACATGTAGCTCACGAAATTCCAGAATAGGGCAAGACAGCCCAGAGTGAGTGGCTGGCAATTGAGGATAGTAAGTGCATATTATTTAAGTCCACTTTAGGCCTTATGGCAATACTACGAATGGAATGCTAAAATATGCATCGTGTCCAGAATAGCAGTTAATGTGACTATATAAATGAATTTGTTGTTCTGTTAAATGAATTTATTCTAGGTGAGAATGTGCAATGAAATGTCAGTAACACCTATTTTCAACTCCCACAACAAACGAATGGTCACGTATCAAGATTAATTCTCTTAGGCTTTAGGGGATACCATTTTCTCTGTGGGCAGTCTTGAGCTTGCTTTCTTTTAAGTACCACATTAGAGGATCCCCTGGAAGCAGTCTCTGTTGGTGTGGTTTCTACTTGTGATATGAGGCTTTCAAGCTTGGCATCTGGCTTCCTGTGACAACTGGAGAAGACTTCCTGGTGGATCCTTTGGAGCTGAATAACAGGCTGCATCTTTAAGACTTGGGAAAACCCATCTGCTTGTTCAATTAATGCAGGCAAAGCCTTAAAAAAAAAAATCTAACATTTAATCTCAGGCTAACACATAAATACAGAGATGGACACAATACTACAATTCTTAGGCCAAAGTTTTTCCTGAATCCTAGCTTTTGGGGGTCATGAATATATCTTTGAAATATTAGTGCAAGCTGAGGAATTTTAACCAAAAGCTAAAACCAGAAAAACATTCTGTTCCCATAATAAATAGGAGTAATTTCAACTATTCAGGAGGCTAAGAACAGAAAGATCACAGTCCAAAGCCAGCCTAGACAGACAGTGAGACCCATCATAAGAAATAAGCTAGATGTGGTGGCTCATGCCTGTAATCTCAGCAATGCAGGAGGCTGAAGGTAGGAGAATCATAGTCTGAGCCTGGTCCTGGGGAAAACCATGAGATCCTACATAAAGAATAACTTAAAAAGTTAAAAAGAAAAAAAAAAGAAAAAAGGTTTGAGACATGCCTCAAGTGGCAGAGAGCCTGCCTGGCAACGTGAGTCCTCAAGTTCAAACCCTTAGCACAAAACCAGCACATGCATGTCAGCTCTGCTACTTGAAAGGCTGAGGCAAGAGGACCACAAGTTTGAGGTCAGAGTCGGTAACATCGTGAGGCTTTGTCTTAAAAAACAAAAAAGGGTGGGGGGCTGGGAATGTGGCTTAGTGGTAGAGTGCTTACCTAGCATGCATGAAGCCCTGGGTTCGATTCCTCAGTACCACATAAACAGAAAAAGCTGGAAGTGGCACTGTGGCTCAAGTGGTAGAGTGCTAGCCTTGAGCAAAAGAAGCTCAAGGACAGTGCCCAGTCTCTGAGTTTAAGCCCCAGGACTGGCAGTAAATAAATAAACAAGTAAAAAAAAAATAAGAAAGAAGAACTTAACTGTGCTGCTATAGCACGACAGAAACAACAGATACCAAGTACATGAATTAACATGCGGTATTCCAGTGCAGCTTAATTTACAAAAATGGGGCTGAGAGCCTGGCTCACTAGTTTCCCAATTCTGAATCAAAAGCATGGTGAGTGGTATGGTTGAAGATGATAATCAGAAAATAACCACGAAAGAATGTTACCAAAATTTAACACCAGTAGGAGTTTACAATAACTCTCATACACTAGAAACCCCCATGTTTTCCTGCTTCTGTAAACTAAATGTCAAAATATAAACAACTTGACTGCAATGATAGGAGTCTTCTCCAGCTGCAGAAATATGTCATCTAAGGGGAAGGAGCACAGACACCAGGGTCTGACACCCAGGCCTTCAAAGCTGGCTGTCACCAGCTGGACATCTAGCCTCTGGTCACCTCAGGGTCTTCATCTATAAAATGGGGCAACAGTCTCTCTCTCAGGGTTAGGGTAAGGAATAAGTTAGGCAATAAATGTGAAGTAGGGGCTGGGATGTAGCTCAGTGGCAAAGCGCTTGCCTAGCAAGTGCAACGTCCTGTTCGATTCCCAGTACCAAAAAAGAAAAGACAAAATAAATAAATAAATAAATGTGAAGTAGTTAGATGGGGCCTGATTCACACCAAAGTTCAATATATGTCAGTGTGATTATCCAAAACTGATCAACTGCTAACACTAAGAATTCAAAACAACAACCAAATCTTTTTAAGAATGCCTGGCACATAACAGGTATGTGGTAAATGGTACTCGGAATGTTGCTGTTGTTCAATAAACTCCCGAATGGTCTACTTCAAAGACTCCTAACTTCCTATAATTGTTACAGAAACACTTTGCTATTGAAGGCAAGTACTTAACCCCAGTTTTTCATTTTATACTTTAGCACACAGCTTTTACCTTCATGACTCTACTGATGTCCTTGGCTATACTTTCTCCTCTGCATTTCAGATTTCCCATACAGGAAGCTGCAAAGAAACCAATGAACAGTATTTTAGGCTTTTTAAAAATCCAATAGCCAATTATAAAAGGCAGTTGTATACATGCTACCTGGACACAAGCAATTTTCCAGGATTATTCACTTTAGGTTTTGTTTTGTCTTTTTGCTGGTCGTGGGGCTTGAACTCTCGGCCTGGGCGCTGTCCCTCAACTCTTCAGCTCAAGGCTAGCACTCTACCACTTGAGCCACAGCGCCACTTCTGGCTTTTTCTGCTTATGTGGTGCTGAGGAATCGAACCCAGGGCCTCATGCACACACAGCAGGCACTCTTACCACTGAGCCACCATCCCAGCCCTCACTTTAGTTTTATGGGGCTTGAGGTCTTGGGTTTTTTATTTTTGGGGGAGGAGTGGTTGGGCGATGGTAGGTTTGAACTTAGGCAGGTACTCTCCTGATGAGCCATGCTCCTAACCCCACGTTTCCCCACCACTCCACTGAGTTTTGCTTTTTTATCCAGAGCCAGTCTCAGACTCTGATTCTTCCTATACCTCCCACATAGCTGGGTAGCCATACACCAACACATCTAGTTTCTTTATTGAGATAGTTTCACTAATGTTTTTCTTGGGTTGGTCTCAAATCATGATTCTCCTGATCTCTACCTCCAATTTACCTGGGATTACAGGCATGAGCCACCATGTCTGGCTTCATCATATTTTAAAATAAATACAAAGTACTACTTAATTTCTAAATTATTATGAATTTTATAAAAGAAAAGCATTTTTTGACTTAGAATGTACACTCACACTCTATGAAGACCGTAACTCAATATAACTTTTGGGGGAAAATTTGGACTAGGTTGCCAGTAATAATGGTAATCTATTTCTTTACTTCCTTGATGTTTTCCTTCTCTGTTGCTTGTCCAAGTTTTAGTGAACTTTATTTTCTCCTATTCTTTGTTATATATGTTCTGGGCTACTCTATAACAAAACTGTGTATTCAATGGATAATTTTCTAGAAAACTGTGGTTATGTATTTTCTAATAATTATAATTAAAATTATTTAAAACATCCCCCATCTTATCAAAAATTTTAACAATATATATTTGTATTCTGAAAACACACACACACAGAGTCTAGGAGTATATCTCAGTGATAAAATATTTGCCATATGCACTAGGCTCAAAGTTCAATCCCCAGCATCACAGACATAAATGAAAAGTCTAGTTTTCAATAAAGAACTATAAGTAATACAAAAACCTAAGAAAGTATGGGACATTCACAAGGGAAAAAGTGAAAGAAACAATCTTATCACTGAGGAAGTCCACATTTTGGGTCAAATATTGGGTTTGCCATACAAATTCAATCAACTCTTAAATGTCCTCAAATAACTAAAAGAAACCATGAACAAAAACCTAAAGGAAAATGGGAGAATGCACTCTCACCAAATAGAGAATGTCAATGAGATAGATATTACAGATAGGAGCCAAATAAAAATTCTAGAAGTGAAAAGTAAAGCAACATAAGAAAATTCACTAGAGGGATTCAATAGTAGATTTGAGCAAAGAGAAGAAAAACAAACAATCTATGAACATAAAAACAGGAAAAATGAATTATCTAATCTGAGGAACAGAAAGAAAAAGAAAGAAAAAATAAATACAGGCTATGAGAAGACACCATCAGACACACCAACTTACATATAATGGGTGTCTTAGAGGAGGAGAAGGGAACAGAATAATTTAAAAAATAGCCACTACTTCACTAAATTTGATCAAACACATTAATCTATGCAAATTCTAGTACTGCCAAAAAAGAGAGAAATAGGTTACATCAAGACATAGTGCATTCAAATTAGACAGTTCCAGACAGAATCTTTTTTTTTTTTTTTGGGTGCCAGTCCTGGGGCTTGAACTCTGGACCTGGGTGCTGTCCCTGAGCTTCTTTTGCTGAAAGCTAGTGCTCTATCATTTGAGTCACATTTCCAATTCTGGATTTTTAGTAATTTATTAGGGCTAAAAGTCTCATGGATGTTCCTATCTGGGCTGGCTTCCAATTACAATCCTGAGTAGCTAGGATTATAGGTGTGGGCCACCAGCATTTGACCAGAATCTTGAAAGCAGTGTGAGGTGACTTTGAACATACAAGGGATTCTCAGTAACATTAACAGCCAGCATCTGGCCAACATCTGCACAGAAGGCAGAGGGATGATAGCAGTTAAAAGTGCTGAAAGATTAAAAAAACATGCCTACCAAGAACTGATGTCAAGCAAAAATATTCTTCAAAAATGAAGTTGAAATTAAAACCTCCCCAGACACACAAAGTTGCGAGGTTGTTAGTAGATGTTAGATCCAAAAAGGCACCAAAACTAGGTGTGGAGATGGCTAATGCTAGCACGAGTTTATTTGGGAGAAAAGCCTGCAAGGGAGGGGAGATCTCCAGCAAAGAGCTAGAGTTATAATATAAAGATATTACAACACTCTTCTAGAATGACATAAGATATGACATAGGTGAAGAGAATACCACGACCAGAAGTAATCACATAGAAAAATATAAAATCCAGCATACTGTAATTTCAGTTTGTAACTCCTCTTTATTATCTACATGATTTAAAAAAAACTAATTGAGCAGTAACTATAAATCTATATTAATGTGTATGCAATGTCTAAAGACAACAACATTAAAAGGCAAGGGACAGAATGTTTCTATGCAGTATTGAAACTTAAATTGACTTCAAGCCACACTATTTTAGATTTAAGATAAAACTGCAATCTCTAGGGACCCTAACAAAACACTATAAAGAAAATGTGTGGGGCTGGGAAGGTGGCTCAGTGGTAGAGCGCTTGTCTTGCATGCTTGAGGCCGTGGGTTCGATTCCTCAGCACCACATAAGAACCACTAAAAAGCTAGACATGGAATTGTGGTTCAAAGTGGTACAATGCTAGCCTTGAGTGAAAGAGATCTGGGACAGTGCCTAGGCCCTGAGTTCAAGCCTCATGACTGACCAAAAAAATTAAAAAGTTAAGAAAATCAAAACTGTATATTACAAAAAGATCAATTAAAACAAAAGAGTACTGAAGGAACTGAGAAGTTTAATACAAAATGCAAAAAAGTTGTAATACATATAGAAAATTGATATCAAAATGGAACACAACCCCAAAATACATGACACAAAAGTTGGTAAGATAAAAGAAATTATTCAATAACAACTGGGAAGTGTGACAACTGGATAGAACATCAATAAGGAAACAGAAGACATAAATAAAATTTACAAAACAACTAGTGAACATACATAGAACGTTCAGCTGAAGAACAGCAGGATGCGTTAATATTAGTCAGGATGGTGCTACTGAGAGGTCTTCACACGTTACTGGGGTGTACTCTTAAAAAGGATAGTGGAGCCCCACCCCCTTTTCCTCTCTTTTACTTCCTTTTAAGGAAAAGCCTTCTACGTGTAAGGAAAGGAGTCCAATAGTTAATCTAGAAAAAAATTACAATAAAGATACTATTTTCCTTATGTTTCTAGATTTTTTTGGATATTCTGAATCATATTTATTGTATACATAAGAACATTTGGGCATATGCTTTGAAAATACACTTAAATAAACATACTCTAAAATATGCTTATTCTGTGCAGTTACTCCTTATCTAGAAACAGGTGGCAGTTACATACACATATATTTGTGGATAAGACCCAACAAGCTATGCTCTGTATGTTTTATAACCTAAACACAGAAACACACAAAACAATGAACAAAATCTTATATTTTCTATAGCTACTTGGGAGGTTGAGATTGGGAGTATCATGTATTGAGGTCAATCCAAACCAAAAAATTCACAAGACTGCATCTCAATGAATAAAAAGCTGAGTAGAGTGATGTGCACCTGTCATTGCAGATAGCTGAGAACCACAGGTTGGAGGACTGCAGGCAGGCCTGGGGGGTAGGGAGGGAACAAGACTATAATGAAAGCAAAAAGAACTGAGGCTATGGCTTAAGTGGTAGACTGCCCGTACAGCAAATACAAAGACCTGAGATGAAACTGCAATGCCACTAACAAGAAAAAAATTACGAAAAGTTATCTTACTTTTATGTATGCAGTAAGCCATAGTCTTGTTTCGTGATATACAAAATTATCTATCTCCAATGGGATTTGCTTTAGTTTTATTTATTGATTTATTTTTGCAACACTGGGATTTGAACCGAGTCTCACACTTGGTAGGCTGACACTCTTCCACCTGAGACACATCTCCATCTTTTCTGCCCAGGTTTTGAACCATGATTCTCTGGATTTCAGCCTCCTGAGTAGTTAGTGCTGCAGATAGTGAGCCACGGGCATCCAGCTGTTTAATGTTTTTATTAATAGCACTGATAACTATAGTAACTGGTTTGTGAATTCTTTCACTAAGATATTAGACCAAATGCTATCAGTGACTAATATAAAATGCTTCATATTCCTTTTTTTCCTTAGGTATTTAAACTCATACTGATGAATAACTGTTTCCCATCTGTTGTTCAAGTAATGATAATGTAAAAAGTGCCAAGAGTAATTTGGGCTTGATTGTAAAATGGAATCAGAGCCTAGAATTAGATAGTCAAAAAGAGATGTTTCACACCTGAATGTCTGGTGGGACATTCTAAAACTACACCAGGCATATAAGACATTTAGTTTCCCTGGCCTAAGCACCTTCCCTACCCAAAAAATGTCCTTCAACTTTCTCAAAATGGCCACTAGGGGGCACTACCAACTCCAGTGAGAAGCTTGGTATTGACATGGTTTGGGAACAAGTACTTCATTCTCTTAGCACTGAATACAGTGTCTGACTCTAAAGGCAGGTGCTCTGAGTGTTATGAGGGAACAAGGTATGATAGCGGTAACTATGAAGGCACACAAGTAAGGTGAGGGAAGTGAAGGAAAGGAAAATCATGGGCATAAGAGAATTGAAATAGGAGTCAGTGCCAAATGGGCTAGAGAAAGAGAAGGGGTTAGGAGGGTGGCAGAGGATGTGCTGTATCAAAACAAGGGAATAAATCAAGAAAACAGGAACCAGGAAACATGACCTAAACCAGGAGAGAAATAAAGGAAATTCCCAGGATAACGATGAAAGGAGCAGACAGGATGAAAGCTTTTCAGCCAGCCCAGGGAGCAGCCAGTACAGACTGAAATAGAAGACGGAAGGGTCCCCGAGGTTTATCTCCAAGAAAAAGAAAAGGGTCTAAAAATGGGTTTGATGGATAATGTGAAGTGTTTATACCACACTGAGTTCTGGTGAAGTGTTTGGGAAAGAACCAGTGACAGACTCAAAGACCACTAAGCAAACAGAAAAATAAAATAATCATCATTCCAGAAAGGGATAGGAAGCTGCTCAGGACAGAAAATAAAACCTGAGAAAAATGATGGAAAGGGTAACAAATTCAACAAGAAATTTATTCACTTCCTTACACATGTAACTGCAACCCCTTTGTACATCACCTTAACAATAAAATTAAATTAAAAAAGAAAATCTGGCTGATTGAAAAAGATTTACATGGCCATAATTATCTAAGTACTGAACATTTGATTTTTTTTTACAAGAATGTCTGAGATATTAAAAGTGAGGCTGGTGGAGTATAGATGAAGTCCTTTGAAAAACTTGGCTATAAAAGGCAAGAGTCCAGCAAGGAAAAATAAGACAGCATGAGTGCTTTCTGTAGTTGTTCACTGATAACCATAACCCACTCTTACAGTACTTTGGAGTACGACACCATTCCCAGTCAATCTCACACACTTCTCAAATTATTTGTTTATTTATTTTTGCTGGTTGTGGGGCCTGAACTTTGGGCCTGGGCGCTGTCCTTGAGCTCTTCTGCTCAAGGCTAGTGCTCTACCACTTGTGCCTTAGCTCCACGTCCAGCTTTCTTTGGTCATTAATTGGAGATAAAGAGTCTCCTGAACTTTCCTGCTTAGGCTGACTTCAAACCATGATCCTTAGATCTCAGCCTCCTGAATAGCTATGATTACTGGTGTGAGCCACTAGCACAAGCTCAGCTTCCTTTTATAAACAGAAGCTGAGCACTGAATCTTTAATTGACTAGAATTACAACTCATATCTGCTAGAATCCAGAGTGAACATGGCATGTGATCTTCTTCATATTTACATCATAAATACTTGGTATCTCATTTATACTGCAGGTTAAATAGGCCTTCAGCGTAACTTGTAAGTGGGTGGCTACCTGCAGATGATGGAGCAGTGGCTTGGACAACACAGAAGTATTAGGAAAGAAGAGGAACTGCCTGAAAGTCCTCGGCTTGTAGGTCAGCAAAGAACTAGAAATATCATTGTCTACTGCAGAAACAATACAGCGCCTTGCCATTACTACATGTTTAGTGGAGAACAAAGGGGGAAACGAATCTCCTCAGTTAATTTCAAGGACTTCTAAACAAAAGACAATATGTAATTATTCAGCATACTAACAGGATTACAAAAGATTACAAAAGACAAATGAGAATTACATTTTATTGGCAGAAAGCTAATTAATAGATTGCTGTAAGGAGATTTAAAAAAAAATTGCCTTTAAAAATGTGGAAGTTAGGTACTCTTGAGAACACTGCCTTCCCTAGTCACTTGCTTTCTAAAACACAGGGGAAGGAAAAAGTGGAAATGAAAACTTGAGTAATCAGCCTAGTTTTGCTTTCAGGTCATTGCAATGACTAAACTAGGCAACATGAACTTCCAAAGCCTGCACAAATTCAGAAATTCAGCAAAAATACATGAACGAAGTGCTTCCTTTCTACTTCCAATGTATTTTATGAGCGTGGACAAGCAAGCATGCACAACATGGGACATGTGGCTTCTACTGGTTCCCAAAGAGGTAACTGAAGTCATGAATAGAATCACCACTAGGAAAAAGCATTCCTGGTGAAAATGGAAACAATCCCTTTTTATTTTCCTTTTAAGGTCTACTGCAGCCACCTGCGCTGTGCCCATTCTCATAAGCGCTTCACCACCTCCTTCAGTGGTCTTGTACAGCACTTTCTATCAAACTCCTGGCCCATCTCATGCTAACTGGCCCTGGCCAGAAAACTGATTTTGTCTCATAATGCTTTTTTCCTCCATTCTTTCCATCATATCTAAGTGGTCTTTGTTCCATGAACACTCAAACTCACTGCTGACTAATAGAACACTGTTCACATTCTCCCCCTGTGTAAGAGAATTCTTCCTCTAGACTGCAGCTGGATAAATTCCTTTCTATTACTACCTCACAAAGCATTTCTAAGAGCATTGTCCCAACACTGAAGTCACTGGTAATTTCTGTATCTATTATTTTTCTCTTCCCAGTAGAATGTAAGTTTTAGCCAAGCCTTCACTCTTATAGCCTCCACTTTAAGATCAGTGCTAGAAGAGAGCAGACATTCATTGACATTTATTTCAGTAAATTCCCACAAAGGTTTTCTATGCAGCTTATGTAGACCTTTAAGGTCCTACAGAAATTTTTGCTATTTTAGGTCCTACAGAATTTTTTTCTGTAGGATATAAAAACTTGCATAGGCAATCTTACTACAAGTTCTTTCTTTCAGTTATTGAGAGATTAGTTAATAACAAATGTCTGTGAAAGCTGACAGTCTAGAGAGCGCTTTGGTTTTCAAAAATGCACTGCTTTCTTTAGCTCTTTATCATAATACCTGCATATTTTTTAGTTGTACTTGTTACGATTTAATTTCAAGCATGTGTGTTTATTTCCTTGCTTATGGCCTCTTTCTTTATAGTAAAACTAACTAACTAAAATACTTGAGTATAGAGGCTGGGAAAGTGGCTCAGTGGTAGAGTACTTGCCTTGCATTAATGAGGCCCTGGGTTCGATTCCTCAGTACCACATAAGCAGAAAAAGCTGGAAGTGGTACTGTGGCTCAAGTGGTAGGGCACTAGCCTTGAACTGAAGAGCTAAAGGACAGCACCCAGGCCGAGTTCAGGCCCCATGACCAATTTAAAAAAAACAAAAACGGGGCTGGGAAGGTGGCTCAGTGGTGGAGTGCTTGCCTTGAATCCATGAGGCCCTGGATTTGATTCCTCAGCATCATATAAGCAGGGAAAAAAAAAGCCAGAAGTGGTGCTGTGGCTCAAGTGGTAGAGAGCTAGCCTTGAGCTGAAGAGCTCAGGGACAGTGCCCAGGCCCAGAGTTCAGGCCCCACGACTGGCAAAAAACAAAAACTTGAACAAACTTCAATCACCATTTTTACATTGTTCAAAACCAAAACAAACATGTTAACAACTTCATTTTTGAAAACACCCTTTTTGATGGACCATGGTAACGGATTAATCATTAGGTCTGAGGTTAATTTTTAAAGTCAAACACAATGGGGAGTATGATTTCAACCAACTTCACTGTCAGGTGTACCTCCCTCCCCACCTCAGTTTATCCCACTGACTTAGGAGACCTGAGAGGTAAGAGGTATGTTAAAAAGCAGTTGAGGGGGGAAAAAGGTCAGAATTCAACAAGGATGAGGTATTTTAAAGCCGTAAGTATAAATATTCCATGTGAATAAAAGATTTAACTGGGTACTTCCTCCACCCTCAATAGTTTAGAAATGGTATTTTTGAATGCCAAAGGCAAAAACCCAACAAGTGTTTCAATAACATTTTAGTGAGGATAGAATCATTTTAAAATATTCACAGCCAAGCCATACACTGGTGGTGGCTCATACCTGTAATCCTAGTTACTCAGGAGGCTGAGACCTAAGGATCATGGCTCAAAGTCAGCCCAGGCTGGAAAGTCTGTGAGATTTTTACCTCCAATAAGCTACCAGAAAAGCCAGAAGTGGAGCTGTGGCTCTAGCAGTTGGGCATTAGCCTTAAACAAAAGACGCTCAGTGACAGCACTGAGGCAGAAACAGAAAAGAAGAAAAACAAAAAAAGAAAAGAAAGAACCCACAGCCAGGTTCTGGTGGCACGTGCCTATAATCCTGACTACTCTGAAGGCTGTTACCTAAGAATCATGGTTTGCAGCCAGCCTGGGCTAGACAAATCTACAAAACTCCTCTCTCTAACTAACCAGCCAAGAGCTGTAAATGAAGGTGTGACTTAAGTATAGAACACATGAATGAAAAAGCCAGCCCAGAGCTCAAGCCCCAGTATTAGCATAAAAGAAAAAGAAGAAAAAAAAATCCACATTTTTTGACTTTGCCAATTGTTGCGGGATTGACCTTTAAATCAGTTTTACTTGTTGTGTTTTAGAGAATGCATCTAAATGGAAACAGAACTGGATCCAAAGGTACAATTAGTATGTTTACATTTTTTTATTGTGTTTTACCTTGTGAACAGGAAAAACTGGTAAGGTAATTGATTGCATTGGGAAGAAATGTATGAGCAAATACTTTAATAGTATAACTTTTCCTGTAATGCACAGGACAGTAAAATGGCAGAGAATAAAGGAGAACTATAATAAAAGCTAGAGATGGGTGAAGTTCAGATTCTTAAGGCCAAACCCTAGAGATTCTGTCAGTAGATTTAGAACAAGTTCTCAGAATTCTAAACAAAGAGCTAACCATGAATCACCAGCAGGAAGCTGAAGCATGAAAGGAAAGATAACCCATGATGCTATTCCTTCAGAAGAATGTCAAGAACTCATAAATATCACAAACTGGTACTTCATTTTTACTATACTAAATAATAACTTACCTGGGTCAGGCTCATATTTCAGGTCCAAAGGTTGTACAACAGGTTGAAACTGTTTCTAAATATAATATAAATTAAAACAGATTTAATGTAATCATTTAGTGCTTCATAAGCTCTTCTTTTGGCTAGTGTTGGAAAACATACTCTATAACTAACAGTACTATTCTTTTTTTTTTTTTGGTCCGGTTATGGGCCTGAACTCTGGGCCTGGGCGCTGTCCCTCAGCTTTTCAGTTCAAGGCTAGCGCTCTACCACTTGAGCCACAGAGCCACTTCCGACTTTTTTCTTTTTGCTTATGTGGTGCTGAGGAATCGAACCCAGGGCCTCAGGCATGCAAGGCAAGCGCTCTACCACTGAGCCACCTTCCCAGCCCCTTCAACAGTACAATTCTTTGGGGAAAATTTGTTCTTAGATTCTGAAATCTGTGGGAAAGGAAAGAGGAGTTAAGACCAGAAAGTCTGAATTATAGCTTTAATAGTACTGCCACCTACTGAATACGCTAAGAAATAGCACCATAGAAATTATAACCAGAGGGCTGGAAAGGTGGCTCAGTGGTAGAGCGCTTGCCTTGCATGCTCGAGGCCCTGGGTTCAATTCCTCAGCACCACATAAGCAAAAAGAAAAAGCCGGAAGTGGCGCTGTGGCTCAAGTGGTAGAGCGCTAGCCTTGAGCTGAAGAGCGCTTGCCTTGCATGCTCGAGGCCCTGGGTTCGATTCCTCAGCACCACATAAGCAAAAAGAAAAAAGCCGGAAGTGGCGCTGTGGCTCAAGTGGTAGAGCGCTAGCCTTGAGCTGAAGAGCTGAAGGACAGCGCCCAGGCCCAGAGTTCAGGCCCCACGACCGGACCCAAAAAAAAAAAAAAAAAGAAATTATAACCAGAAAAAACAATCAAGCACATTAAAGGTAGGATGATGGAATTTTATGTTTAAAGTATAAGATAGTCCCCAAATTATGAGTGGACTGTCTCAAAAGTTCATTGAGGGGCAGGCACTATGGCTCCCACCTGTAATCCTAGATACTCTGCAGCTAAAATTGTAGTTAACTGCAGGAAAGTTGCAGTTTAAGACTAGCCTATGCAAAAAGTTCATAAGACTCTCATTTCAACAAATAAAAAGTTAGAGTGGTGATGAGGGTCTGTCATCCCAAATATACAGGAAGCAAAATAGGGAGACTGTGGTCCAGTTCAGTTTAGGCATAAACATTAGATCACATTAAAAAATAACGAAGGTAAAATGGATTGGGGGCATGGTAGAGTCCCTGCCTGGCAAGAGCCAAGGCCTGAGTTCAAACCCTACTACTGCCCCACCCCACAAAAAGTTCATTTAAGACAAGTATTAGGAACTCAAAATTCATATTTCTACAGAAACTGTTCTAAAAAGTGTTGAGGCTATATATCAGCATATTAAACTCTACACATCGTTTGACACATGGCAACTATGGTAGAATTACTGGTATATTTCTCCCATTTAGGCAAAAAGAGGAAAATGTTCCTCCTTTCTCTTCCCCGAAACCAACAGGTATCAAAAAGGTTAAAGAAAGAAAAGAAAGTGCTTCAATATTCTCATTCTACCCATTTTCTCTCACTTCTTTAAACTAGCACAGTGGTAGTGGGTAGTGTGGTTAACACAGCTAGGGCTATAGCTTTCTTTTATGTAATACTGATTTCTAGGTTTTAGAGTTTTGAGGGGGTCTGGGAAGAGAGAAACAGTAGAAACAATTACACTTGGAATGTTTTCCCTGAAGAAAATTTAAGTGGTGGGAAGAGGGAGTTTTTCAAAGGATTAAATACTAATGAAAAAAAAGAACTATTCTGCTTATTAATTTTTTCATAGAACAGTAACTGTACTATCTTAGACAAAGTATAAAGTCTTGACGTTAATGCCTTAAGTTCCCAAAAAGGAAGTAACTGGAAGATTTATATGTCCGAATATGCTAATTAAAAAACCTAAAGACAAGCAGTATAGCATAATTTAAAAGCTGCATGTAGTTCTTTTTTTTTGGGGGGGGGGGGTGAGGGGGAGAGGCAGGGCCTGAACTCTGGGCCTGGGCACTGTCCCTCAGCTTTTCAGCTCAAGGCTAGCACTCTACCACTTGAGCCACAGCGCCACTTCCAGCTTTTTTCTTTTTGCTTATATGGTGCTGAGGAATCGAACCCAGGGCCTCAGGCATGCAAGGCAAGCGCTTTACCACTGAGCCACCTTCCCAGCTCTGCATGTAGTTCTTACTCTGGGGGCAATGCCAGTCCTAGGAAATCTTCTCCACATCATATCCAAGGAAGACTTAGGTCTAATTTCCTTGTAAACTTGCTTATTTTGTGATCGACTGTAGTCCTAATAAGTCTAAAAAGACAAAAGTATGGCAGGGTTGGTCTCTGATTATCTACAATAATTGTAAGAAACAAGCCGATGACACTGTCAAAAAGCCTACCCAATGAGAAGGGGAAAAAAAAGAGGAGGTTACAATGCTTGATAAGAAATGTACTCATTATCTTGCCCATGTAATTGTAACCCCTCTGTACAGTATTTTCACAATAAAAAAAAAAAGCCCACCCAAAGGAGCTAACTTCTTGTTGTAACTCACAGTTATGGTTTTTAAAGCCAAACAAATTATATACTATTTATAAGGCAAATTTCAGTATTATGAATGGGTAGGTAGATCAAACAAGTTTTTCCATCTATTTCACTAATGGGTCTGCCAAAACACATAAACATATACAAATAATATGTCAAACACAAATGGCAACTAGAAAGAAAGGAGTGAAAAATAAATTTCCTTTCTTTTCCTGGTTATCATCAGCATTCCATCTTCAATTCTAATTTTACTAAAAGCTGTGTTCAGTAAAAACTATAGTTCAGAACAAGAAAAAGTCAGGAAAAGACAATATATTATCTAAATAGAAATGGCTCTTATTTTACTTCTTTACTGTGGTAAAAATAAACATAAAAACTTAAAGGTAGATTATCTTACCAAAATTTCATGCTGTGCTTTCAAGGTTTTGATGACACATTCAAGGATCTTTCTGGGATACTGCTTGCGTTTAGTTGCAATATCTACTATAATTTCATCAAATTGATCTTCAAGTATTTTGATGTCAGAATCTAGTTCAGAAAAAGAAATCTAAAATATTACTTGATATTCATTGTATTAGTATGAAATGTGACAGATACAAACTAAATATTAAAAATAAAGAAACATCATCAGATTAAGAAATGACTGAACTTTGGTTATTTACTCATTTGTTCATTAATCAATCTATTCATCTATGGGAAGTCAGGCCTACATTAGACAAATATAAATGAGTATAATATGATCCTAAGAAACAGATAATGACAATTTATTAATATAATAGAGGTATCACGACACAGAACCATGAAACATATTCCTTGGAGATTTAAGACTTTAAAAAGCAGTAAGCTAGGCACCAGTGACTCACAATTGTTAATCCTAGCTACTCCAGAAGATGAGATCTGAGGATCACAGTTCAGAGCCATCCTGGGCAGAAAAGTCCAATTAGCTATCAAAAAGCCAGAAGTAGAGTTATGGCTTAAGTGATAGGCTGCTAGCCTTGAGCAAAACCTAGGACAGTACACAGGCCCTGTGTTCAATAAGGAAGGAAGGGAGGAAGGGAGGGAGGGAGGGAGGGAGGGAGGGAGGGAGGGAGGGAATAAAACAAGTTCCTAAGTGGTAAAAGATCTTTTCACCTATTTCCCAGCATTTGGCCTGGCATTTAACAGTTACCCATGGAAGAGGGTAAGAAATCTAGTATAGTATTCTTCATTATCTCTTCTCACAGTGGGGAAAGGACAGCCACTCCTTCCCTGGGTTACTGATCTATTAGATCTACAAAGTGATAAACCACATTCCAATAGGCAGTACAGGACCAAACAAAAAAAGCAATTACAAAGTAATTACAAAGTAACTATGGAATAAGAACCAGATAATGATACAATGAAAAGCTATATAGTCTGAAAGTACTCCTAGCTGATTCTATAAACTTTTTCTCCCTTATTAATTGGCAATTATTTTGTTAATATTTAGCAATACTGACGTTATTTTTATCCTTTTAATATTTAAACCAAAAAGTCAATTTGTATGATTTGAAAAGACAAGTATCTTGATCCCAAAGACTGAACAGTAAAGTTTTCTGGGTACAGTATTATCTTATTGTTGAGAAGGAAAAATCCTAGCCACAGAGGGTTGGTTTGGCAGGCTTGGAACTAATTCATGGGTAAGAAGGATAATGTGAACATAAAGCAGTGACAGCAAGCCATGCCAGTGCCCACTGATGCTCTTGTCAAGGTAGCCCTCTTCTGGACACTCTGGGAACTCTGCCTCTCCTCACAATGATTTACTAAACTGTCTTCTTCCTATATTGATTTACTTTCTATTCAAGCTTGATTTCTTTAGCTATGTTAACAGTACTATTTAGGGTATAATCGAGTCTGCTTTAGACCAATAATGTGTGTGTATATATGTTGGTTCTAGGGTTTGAAATTGGGGCCTGGGTGCTATCCCTGAGCTTTTTTGGGTAAAATATTATCTTTTTAAGATGGTGTCTACAAATACATGACTTCATCCTTAGATGGTGCTTATGGTTTAATTTTACATTTCTAAAAATATGTCACTACCCATTCTAAGAATCAGTGATAGAAAATCTAACTGGCTTTATAGAATTACAGGAATTCTCTGGCCTGTTTCTTCATCAGGGGAGAATTCTAGAGTGTTTTCCAATAACGTTTTAACAAAGGTAACTTTGAAGATTAATCAGATTAAAGTCTTGTTTAAAATATCAGGTATTATATTTGACAGAGCAAAATATTTACTGTGTCTTATTCACATTATAATTTCAAGTCTATTTTTGTTTCCTTTTTACTCCTCTAATATTTTCAGTGATACCAACAGATTTTAAAAGAGTATTCAAAATAAAACTAGCTGTAAGAAATAACTCAGAAGTTAATGATAGGTTAGCCACATACCTACAAGACAATGATCTGAAGTCTCCTGCCACGCTTGCCCATTAATGCTGACATTCTCTTGCACGGCTGATTCAAAAGTCTGCAATAAATTCGCAGCAGTTAAGTCACTGAAAAGAATTTTAAATATTGAACTAAGACATTTTGGCAAAATAATTTTAGTCAGACTATTGTTCTGAGTACTTGAGAAAACAACTTAAGGGAGGTAGAATTAATTTTGGCTCTGAGATTGCAGATCATGGGTGGCTGGCCCCATTGCTTTATTAATTTCCTCAGCATCTCTCAGTCTAATTAAGCTGACAAGATAGTTGGGCAAGGTGATTTATACCTGTAAATCCCACTTACTCAGGAGGCAGACAATAAGATCAAGGTCAGCTCAGGGCAAAAAGTTAATGAAACCCCCTTCATCTCAACTAATACCTGAGTGGTGTGTGTTTATCATCCCAGCCATGAGAGAAGCATATAGGAGGACAATGGTACAGAGTGATCCAGGCAAAAATAAAAGATCCTGTCTTCAAAAATACCTAAAGCAGGGGCTGGGAAGGTGGCTCGGTGGTAGAGTGCTTGCCTTGCTTGCGTGGGGCCCTGGTTCAATTCCTCAGCACAACATAAGCAGAATAAACCAGAAGTGGCACTGTGGCTCAAGAGGTAGAGCACTAGCCTTGAGCTGAAGAGCTGAGGGACAGCACCCAGGCCCAGAGTTCAGGCCCCATGACCAACAACAACAAAATACTTAAAGCAAAAAGGGTGGGAGGTGTGGTTGAAGTACTAAAGTGAAGTCAGTGCTTTTGACTAACAAGAGCAAGGCTTTGAGTTAACCCTCAGTACCACCAAGGGGGAAAAAAACAATTAAAAATCACAAATAATTTCAGGTATGTGACAGAGGATACAAAGTAACAGACTAGCCCAGTAGTATATTTATTCTTTTTTTTATTGAGGGGGGGTCCGGTCGTGGGGCCTGAACTCTGGGCCTGGGC